ATCGTACCATTCGGACAGATCTGTGGTGAGAAACAGCTGTCGATTTTTCGTGACGATGCTCTTTACAGCGGTCTTTTCGAACGCAATTTCCCATTGAAAATCGTGTTGACTTTCACACAGGTGTGTCTGTCCAAATTCTCGCGTACCTTCTCCATCACCGTGTCTCCGACGTCCTCGAGAAATTCTCTAGGCTCGATGTAACGGCAATTGATTACCGCACCAGTGAATACCCGTCTCTAAAAAGTAGTCTCGATCTCCACCCATCTGAATTCATCGTGACCGGCACCCGCGCGAACTACGCGACCTCGCAGTTCGGTCCTCGTTCCCTCTAAACGCACGATCAAAGCGACAAGGAAATTGACCGTTCCGGTAGTATTCGGACACCTTCGACACTCTTGCCTCAACGATTCCAAACACTCCTCGCATCGACGATCCCACGCGTGATAATCGTCCTCGTCGACGACATTCGCCGCGTTCTCGATCAGCTCGCTCGCTTCGGTTTTTTCAGCCATAATCCACGTTCCTCGCTTAGTTCTGGATATATGAATTACACTCGCTCTTGAATAAGCACTTTTTTCTTATCGAGACACCATCTATTCGGTAATATTCCACTCATATACGTCTTCGCTCGACTACTTACTGAACCACATCGTTGTCTCTATCCATAGCTTTTCGCGCGAACAATTGGCGCCGATTTCCCTCCTCGTATGATAACTCGCCACATTCCATTGCGCATCTTCCTTCACCACACAATCAAATACGGCATATTTTTTTCAAACAGCTTTTCATCATCCTCCACATCACTATCATATATCGACGTTCTCGAGGATACCGTCTCGTAGCAATATAAATCCTCCTCTTCGTCGGTACTTTCTCTCTTATTACACCCGCTCATAACAGACCTCTACGTTAGACGCGATACGCGATGCGACCAACGCCCGATCGCTCGCGCTTTTTATTCATCCTTCGTCGCCCGCGGGACGCGGGATGAGAAACCTGCCCTGGTAAAAATTCCGTTAGAAACGAATAGAACGTGGATTCTATCCGTTTCTGACTGATCTACTATGCGTTTTTGGCCCTGCAATTACGGATAGAGGCAGATGAAAAATGTTGCAGAACCTATAAGATTATGTACGCAAAAACGGTAGGGAAAGGCTAACTGCATCTAACTGATTCCTAATGGAATGGAACTTATCCGAATCTATGTGCAGACATAATTACGAATCCTATCCGTTCCTATACGCAGTCGGTTTTGAATGTCTATCCGCATCTAACTGCAGAACCAGACACAGGATATATCTATCTGCATTTGTTCGTAACAGTGACGTCCGTTCTATCCGTTGCTTACTGCAAATGCGTATACGTATCCTATTACCCAGTCGACACAGTTATATAACTAATATGTAACATCTATGAATTTCAAAATCACGTTTTATATAACGTGAAGGTAATTTTTACGTTGTCGTTATATTAAAATTTCCTCCTCATTTAAAAGTAATGGTATATACATGTTACAATATATGACTTTATATTTTATGAATGTTACATATATGATTATATTATCAGTTTTATAACAGTTACGAAAATAATTATGTGTATTGATATTTCAGTAGGGTAACACATATATAACTAATATATGTCTATTATATTCTCTGTTTTAATAATGCTACATTGCATATATCTTAAAAAAAGTAAGGTTATGATTTATATATATAAATACGTATTGGCATGGTAATGATGCAAATATAACCTTTTGACCATAGCCAAATACCCTTTCACGACTCAGGCTGGATTCAGACTGAACGCGATGAGCGATGAGCGACGAGCGATTATCCAATGAGCGTACAGTCTTTATAGGAAAACTATACGCTTTCCCATATAACCTGTACGCTCATTGCATAAACGCTTGTCGCTCATCGCTTATCGCGTCCAGTCTGAATCCAGCCTCATGCTACACAAATGCACTCCACAGCACTCAATGAATTGGTGAATATAAAAATTGATGTAATAAAGTTGCGCCCGTGCGCACTTTTCGAATTATATCTCAAAAATAGTACGAGAAATTCAAAACAAACGTTCAAAGGAGTTTAGCACATCTAATGAATATGAAGCACACTACATTAGACTAAAGACAGTAAAATTATAAATTTGTAATATAACTGTTAATTATGACATATTCGTTATGTATTTTATGTTATTTTCTAGTTATATAGCAGCAACTGAATGGTCGACTGAAGCAGTTATGTAGAAGAAGACAGAAAAATTACACAACTGTAACATAACTGTTATGACGTATTCGTTATGTTATTTTGTTACTTTCAAGTTACATAGCAGCTACTGAATTTGTCGACTGAAGCATTTATGTAGAAGAAGACAGACAAATAACTGTAACAT